TTCAGTGATTTATCACTCAAATGGCTAACATTCTGAACGATATACTGAAGTTTATGATGACCAAATCTAAATCATAATTGAATCGTGTCATTGAATTAGACTCCTTAAGAATCTTACGCATGAATTGAAATAGATAAACAGAACGAATCAATATCTGCAATATCCATTTCAAACGCAATCAGTAATGAAAAATTAATCGTCTACAATAACATCAACCGAATACGATTATGATAAGCGTGATATACCAAATTGAAAGCTGAATTGCATCAAAATAGATCATGCTTTCAATTTGATGGATTTACAAAGGTGTTGTCTATTTTGATCTACATCCAAGAAACAAAACGATTAATTCAGATGTATACTGTTAACAACTAATGAAACCAAAACAATGCAAAACCTCACATATCTTAGATAAGTCGTGGAAAATTTTTAGTTTGGTTGGGAAGTGATGATGACATGAAATCGCACTTGGTTAAGTTTTTTTTGCTAATAAAGATGAGCAGTTTTATGAACGCGAAATCATGAAGAGAGATGACAAAAGGTCATCGGACAAAATAGAAAAATGTAATTGATTAATCTTCGTATACAAAAAAAACACTTTAATTCCACACTAAAAAATAGAAGAATGGATGAATATTACTTATAAATAAGAATTGAGAAGAAATGTATCATTTATTGTGTTGATTTATGTGCGATTTAGTATGGATATTTTATATAAAAAATATTAATAATAACAACATTCTTAAAAAAACGTATAAAACCAGTTTTTTCATTAATTTAAACATTAAATTAAACTTTCAATTAAATAAAAATTAATTAATTAATTAAAATAAAAACAAGTATTTGGTATTAGTGTATATTCAACAATTGTAAAAGCACAAAGACTTGTTATCCTTATCCATATGCAACCAAATATGCAATGTTTTGATGATCGTAATAATATATATTGTATTTCATTTAACTAATAATGATTTTTACTTTAGTTTATTTATATATTTACTAAAAACAAAAATCTTATTCTTTATGTTATTTTTTATTTTAATTATAAATTTAATGCATATTTCCATCAAATTAAGTATATGATTTACAAACATAGTAAATATATGTTAAAAATATAGTTATTACATATTAAACATGTGATATTCTCTGATAAATTTATTTAGTTAATATTTTTCAGGGATTATGAGAAATCATTCTCACACTATAAAGTCTACAATGCTTTAGCAATAGACCTTTATTTTGTTTTTACATTTAATTTAATATGATTAAAAAAATATATTGCATATATGCACATTGGTTTTATTACATACATACAAAGAGCAATTATTGATATTTAATAAATTGAAGACTATGGAAAAAATATTTCTTGTTTTGGATTCGTAAATAATTTTTTCTACCATTTTTCTATAAAATTCATAGATAATAATAATATTTATTGCAAAACAATACAAAAAAAAATATTTCTATACAACAAAAATAATAAGAATAAAAACTGTCTTAAATAAATACATTTTAATATAATTTAAATAAAGAACAGTCAATTAGTAATCATTTAACAGTTATTTTTTTAAATTTTCTTATTGCTGTAACAGATTTATTTTTTAAATATTTGGTCTAGCTAGAAAGAAAAACTTTTTTGCAATAAGATCTATAAGAAATGAATCAAATCGAAATTATCAAAGATACATTACCATATGTTTATTATAAAATAATAGTCCGAATTTCAATAATCGTGACGTGACATCTTGCTTGCGGGTCTGTATGTTACAAAATTTTGATAATAATTCCTCCAAATAGAAAATATAATTATTATTTCTTTTTTTATAGTGCTCTGTAGTGAAATCAACCTCCAACAAAGTTATATCTACCCTTAATTGTAAACAAAATATTTCCATTTTATATTTACTTTTAAACTTCAAAATAATTGGTGACAAGTAAAACACAGAGTTAGGAACGAGCAAGGCACATTTGCAAAGAAGTTAAATGTTAAACAGAAAAAACGAGTGAAATCCTGATCTTTTTGAACAGATAATTAAAAAAAGCAAATCACAGAGTTCGATGGATTATGCCTTTTTGTATAATTCATTCAATTGATCAGGTAACTAAAATGTAAACCAAATCAACCTTTTTCTCATTGTGCATATGTTCAATCCTTTGAAGAATTAAAACAAGACAAACATTAAAAAATAAATAGTCTCAAGAAAAAATTGCGTAGTACTATCAAATTAAAATTTGCTTAGGTCTTTCCATATAGCGTTATATAAAAATGCCAAATAGAGTATTCGCGAATTTTATATATCTTATTCATTTAAAATTATTGAAAAATTGATGATAATTACAAAATAAAAATGTTATAATAATTATTGAAATATCTCAAATGTATAAATAACCAATAGTATTAATCATATTTTTATAGAAATGTTTTGCAAATGGAAGGATAAATTACTTGAGTGAAAAAGTACGCTCAAAAACCTTTGTGTATGTTCATTTTTATGTATACATTTTTTGATAAGTGAAAAATATTGAGAACATAAAGAGTTTTAAATTATAAGATTATTTATTCTTTGTAGTTATGTTTTAATAAAAAAATCTTGAATGATATTTATATTATAACATTTTTGTTTGTATTTGATATGATTAAATATAAAGCTTTATGATCAAATACATTGAATAATTACAATAAAAACTCTTACGTGAATATTTTCTACTCGTATTTGAAAAATATAAAGACTAATGCTCAGTTGGTTGCAAAGTGGACTTAGTTCCACTATTAACAAATTTGCCATAATTACTGAAGTTTTCTTTATAACTAAAGTAGAAGTGATAAGATTAAAGAAAACTATAATATAAGTAGTAAGTTTTGCTGATATTACTTTTATAGATTAAGTTATTGTCCAATAGATGGCGTCACTATATCACACCTGTTGAAGCAAATTTGATAGTTACGTAATAGATGGCGGTAAAATGAAGAAACTTGGGGTGTAAAATAGTTTATTTGCCATTTGACCACGTCCAACCCGATGCATCTCCATATATGCATACACGCATTGAAAATCCAATTAAATCGGTCCACGTTTCCTTAATCGCAAACGAAATATGCAAGATTTTAATGCCGTAATCCTCGCGGGGGGTGACGGCGAGCGCGTAAATAATTCATGGGGATTACAAATTCAAATGTCGAGTTGCGAGAGAGGGCGGCGGATTTTCCCATGAATTTGCGTCCATACACACATGGCATGTATAACGTTAATTAATAAAGGGACCGATTGAAATGCCGGATTTATCGCCGATATAAATATTAATAGAAGTGGGAACGGCGTCGACGATTTAATGAAAAGAAGAAAAAGAAACAGAGAAATAAAGTAACGAAAAGAAAAACTAGTGTCGTAGAAGAAGAAGTAAAAGGGGTGGCGAGAAAAGAAAAAAATAAAAAGCAAAGAAGAGAAGACGAGTGTGTGTATAAGGAGTAAACTGCCTCCTGTGTGTTGGGAAGAGGGTGCGAAATGAAAATCCCTCTCGCAGAGCGGCCAACTTGTTGCGTCCGTTGTTATCAGCAAACATGTTTACTGTATCAAAATGAATTGTGTTTGTGTAGAGGCGAAAGGGATGAAATTTATTCATCCCACCCTTTTCTTCTTTATTTTTTTTCTATGCTCTCCACTCTCCATTCCGTTCTTTTCTCATAGGCTTCCTGCACAAGGAATACATTTAAACTTTCCAATTCCTGGACGCGTCCCGTTCCCCCATTTCTTCTCTCTTTTTTCTGATCCTTTCTTTCTTTCCCGAAAGTAGGAATACGGGAATATTTTAATAAGCGCATTGTGTGCAGCCCCGAAAGCACGGGCGAACGGCTTTCCCATTCGAATGTCATAAAATAATTCCACGAGAACTCTTCTCCTCCAGAGACCCCTCTCATGCACACACACGTAAACACACATTTATGTGTATACGTGCACGCACACTAACAAACATGATGCAGACCAAACATAGTTGCTGTTTGCGAAACTCACGATGTCCCTCATATTGCATTATATCTTGAATGCCCTTTGTCCACGTTATTTTGATATGCAAACGAAAATGTATGTTTCTCTTTGCAGACCAAACGTTGTATAGTATTTTCTTACATGGTTTAAATGCCTTCAGTTAAGGAAATTGCTTGACTATAAATAATTTAAAGTAAACCTCTACCTTATAATACTTATCATCTATTAATTCATGTAATACAAAATACTTACTTCTTGTTTATTTAATTAATTATAATATCCAATGCAATACAAAATATTATTTAACGTCATCTTTGAAGTCCTTAAATTAATAAACAAAATAATATTGATTTGAAATATTAGAGAAAAACAAATTAATTCTTAATATACGATAAAGCGGAGCAAATGTATTTTAATGGGTTATCTAATATAGTTCTAAAGTTTCTAATTTATTTAAAAAAAGAAAACTTTATTAGAAAATATTTCAATACGTTTAGGTACTTTTGATTATTTTTTGGTCATCATTACTGTGTAATAATAAGTTTATTTAGAACAAATTTTCAAATTATTAAAAAACATATTACACCAACTATTATTATAATATTCTGTATAAGGAGTAATTTTAAGTTTTGTCTTGTGAGATATGATTTTCATATATTTTTTAATTTTGTATCTATTAAATAAAATGAAAATACGCTGTAAAAATTCTTTTTCTCTGTTTGAGAAAATTCGAAAATCTGTTTTATAGAAAAGTTGAGATTCATCAGATTTTACATTTATGTATGCCATTTCAATGTTGTTTACTTATTATAGTATGCCAATTCTTTTTGTTTATTTTTTTGAGAGGATAAATTATCTCAGGTTTTTTTATGTTGCTATTTGGTGATGATTCTATTTATCATTAGTTATTAATAACAGAAAAGCTGTTTTTGTTGGTGATATGAAAGTAATTAAATTAAAAATAATGATAAGTATAATTAATTCGTAGCTTAAAAATAAATCAGTCTTTCAAGTATCATGCTGCAGCAGAGTGCAAATCTTAGTGCGCGAAGAAGTGATGATTTGTTATTGGCTTTATGGACCAAATTACCCAAATTTTTGGCTACCAGCGTGGCTACGTTCTTGATCTGTTCGATGGGTCTTTCTTCAAACGGTAAGAAGAAGAATTCTGCATTGATATCTCGACTACAGTTCCCATGAAATGTAGGGAAGAAACAGTGAAATATGTACATATAAATAAAATTCCTTTTGCAGGTGAATGGATAAATATCATAGTGCACGCGGCTCGGCAATTCGGTTACGTAAGTCGCGTGGGGGATGACGGCGTCGCCGACGTCGTGGAATCCTTGGAATCCCGGCTCGGGTTGCGCAATTTGGGGACCTTCCTGATTTGGAACATCGCCGTCTCCTATCTCATATATTTCGGTTTGGGCGGCTTTTTGCATGTAAGACATTATTGTTTCGCATATTATTTTTTTACCTATCCCCAATATCAAAAGATAAATAAAGAAAATTGCTCCGCTTTCCTCGGTCTTAAGGAATGTATGTATTCGTAAAAAAAATACAAGTTTCAAAGGTTTCTTGTACTGAAATGCTTTGTCGATATAATATAATTTACGTTTTAAACCGGTTTTCGAATATTCCCAAGAAAATGAAGACAAAAGGATTTTTATAACTTATTTTTTTTATAAAGCTAAATTTATAAAAAATTAAAAAAAATAACAAATTTTAAAAACTTCTATAAAAAATATAACAAAATAAAATTTATTGTATATAAAACCTTACAGATAAACGAATAACAGAATAATTTGTCTAATTTTATAACTAATTTACTACTTAATTTTTTCTCAAAAAATATATTTTCTGATATCTATTGCTCAAACAGGTCCTAGTTTTTCATATAAAATGAACAAAACTGTATGTTACTAGAAATGAATGCGACATTTATGTCTAATATCGCATTCATTACTAGTGCCAGACGTTTTTGTTTCATTGTTGCAAGATTTCTTCCATGGACGCACTTTTGCTCATGCACATATGATGAAGTTCCTTATTTCGAAAATCTAAACTTATTTATAAAGATATCTTTTCCAGATGTTTATGGTTGAATTATTGTATTATTATGGCATTTCTTTCTTCTTTTACATCAGCATACAAAAATTATATTAGTCAAAGCTGATAGCCTGAGCCCGGTAAACGCAAATTTTGAACCAGTCCCCTGTCTTATGATAGTCTTATGCTATCTCCAGTCTTATGCTATCTCCCGTCTTATGCCAAAGAAAATTTTGTGTCAATATGTATTTATTTATCAAATAATTATAATGATTAATTCATTTTTATATTTTACGTCTAGGCTTAAAAATCGGTTTTTTATTTTATACATTTCTTCAAAAAACCGGTTTTACAAAACCGACAAACCATATACATGCGTATTTTCATCTGTCAATTTTGTTTCATTATTATCTGATTTAGTATCAAGGAGTCTGATCATATTGCAATGAAACTGACAGTTGTAATTATAAATTGATTAATCTGACATATGTGTTTGGTCACATGATAGAAGCTACTCTAACTGTGCAAGTGAGAAGAAAATGGTTAAAATTACTCAAATGAAAATATATTGTGTAATGGAATTAATAGGATGTAAGGAAACATGAATTTATTAAAGGTATTTTAGAATAATGAGACGCACGTATTTACATGTAGGACTTCAAAGTATGATATGGTTTCATATATTTTTTTCAAATACAGTAGATTTCGCTTAATGAACACCGGTTGATCGGGAAAGCCGGGACAAATCCTAAAGGACGGAAACAAAACCAAGCAAATAACAAATGGAACTTCGGATAATGGGGACAAATATACTAGTCCCGATGTGTCCTGATTATGCGGAATCGACTGTATTATGTTATAAAGTTATACAGGATGTTATTTTTTTTTATTTTACCAGATAAGTTTAATTGAGTTTATATTCGAGTTGTGAGTGTGCAACAATTATCAAAGTGACGCAATAATTTCCCTCCAAATGACGCAATAAAAAGTAATTGCACCCCAGCCAATAGTGTTAGTTGTGGCACCAAAATCAGAATTTACAGTTTTTTGTATGTCATCCGTCCAGCACATACATTTTTTTTTTCGGGATATCACTCTCTCATGTATTGTGGGCCTCATTCCATATTTATATTCGGGGTTTCAAAATCTTAAGGACGCCCCTGAGTTAAATATGAATACACACAGAGCCGCATGTAATATGATTCTTGTTCCGATATTTTGAATAAAGGGGTGGTGGGGTCCGGG